GCGGGTTGAGTGAGGTTGTGGACATGGCCCTGGGACAGAGACCCTGTGGCCCCAGTGTAACCCGGGCCAAGTCTTTGCCTGGAGAGAGGTGGGCAGAGAGAAGGGCCACTGCAGGGTCAATAGCATCCAAAGTAAGTGATAAAAAGCAGTGCTGCAACTGTGAAACCCTCCCAATGTGGCCCAAACTTCATGCAACTGAACAGCTTGCAGATGAAGGAGGGTCCCTGTTCGGCACAGGGCTGCTGGGCCCCAGCTCAGGACAGTGACACAGCGAGATGTGGCATTGTTGTGAAATGAGGAGCTAAGAAATTAAAATATGATATAGAAATTGGCACTCAAGAAATGAAGGTATAACTTAGTTTAGAGATAAAGATGGAAGACTTAGAGATCAGGCTAGGCACTACAGGCCTATTAGTTAAAAGATAACTAAGATTAAAATAGGATAATAGATCATAGTTTATGGGCCAGAGAGCAGAACAATATGGAAACTTTGATTGATGGAAGCTGTGAGAGAATGCTACCTGATGGAATAGGAAGACATCCCTAAAAACTGGTCAAAACCAATCCTATGGTCCGGCCTGAGTCCAGGAGGCTACAGAGACTGCACAAGAAACTGAGGGAAAAAGTTCAACAGTGAGAAAGAGGAGCTACTTCACCTCTGTGACCCCAGCCCACGACCACTGGGACACACTGTGCAGACACGACTAGAAGGAGACTGAAGCGGAACCTATGAAAAAGACTTTCAGGCTCATTATAATACAATGTGGGGATAGGTTATGCATATGTATAGGTGTATTATGAATATGTAATGCTTTCTAGCATAAAGCCAAGACAAGGTGCCACAAGAGGTGCGCATGTTTGTAGTGGAATGATCTTCCGTGTGCCTCAGCGCTGAATAAACACACCTTCTTTATAACCTTAGAGATTGTGGAGTCGTGTTTCCGCAACATCAGTTGAGCCAGGCCACTGAATTGTACCTCATGCCAGGGCAGTTGCAGCAATATGCATGTTCCCTGCCTGGTGGGAAGAAAAAAAAGAGGAAAAGAAAATGAAAAAGGCACCCTGAGGTCTCCACTGCCCATCATGCCCAGCCCTCTTATTGTCTCAACACAACCATGAAGACCCACATGCCCTGGAAACTGGGCAGTCTAAGGTCCCTCCCTGGAAAATGGCACACCTCCATGTTTCCAAAGGGAAAGATGCTGCCCAGAGCTCAGAGAATCTCCCAGGATCTACAAACCCTGTGTGCACCAGGTCTCATCCTCACAGAGAGCCCTGAGGATACTGCTGGCCTGAGAATTTGCTGTCACCTCACTGGAAACATTGGGCACGATGAACACTGCAGGCTTGATCTTACTCCCATGGAGCTGTTTGGGGTTAATTGCATGTTAGCATGGCTCCCCAGAACATGAGACGGCTGACTCTGCCGAGTGCTGCTTGCACACGTTTGGCCCTTGCAGTTTGCTACCACAAGGCACCTGCAGTTCTTGCCTGTAGAGCTGCTCCCAGCCTGGCCCAATACATGGGGCGGCTCCATCCCAGGCTCTGCATTTGCTCAGACACTTCCAGATCCCCCCCGATTGGCACCACAGCAGCATCCTCACCATTTCATTCATCCTCCCCATCCCTGGGAATCCCTTGCAGACATAACTAGATAGGGCAGCCCATTTAAAAAGCCACAACTCAGCCCTTTTCTCAGAGCACTTGCAAGCTGTTGACACTGTTAAAACCAGTGGGCCTACTGCATCCTTTAGCCACCACCAGATTTCAACGGGCAGTGTAACTGGAGTTTCCATCTCTGCTCTTCTCCAGTTTCCCCAGCAAGAAAAGGAGGCCTGCAGGCAATTAGACTCTGGTTAAAACAAACTATCATCTTGAAAGCAGACAAAACCTCAGATCCTGTGATAAAAACAAGATTACAGACTTGTTTTAACTATTCATTAACTCTGCCCAGATTGCAATCTTGGTTGCTTTTGCTTAATTAGCTTCTTAGTCACGATGTTAGCTGTTCCCCAAATATTTGTATATGGGATACCTTGCCTCCAGTGGTGCAATGAGTTAGAAGCATTTCCATCTTCTCCTGAATTGCATGGGAATTAGCTTTGCCTGAAAGCAACGACACTTCATAGAAAATTACAGTCAGCTCCATGGAAAATGCAGGAGTTTCTGATGTTTCTTGTTTTATAGTCAGCTTTATCTGTGAGTGATGAGCAAACTGTATGCTGGGTAAAACACCTATGCAAGCATCTGTATGAACAAGCTTCTGAAAACGGGAAACCCACCAAAGATGACTTCTACAGAAGGATCAAAGCTCCGTGTGGGTCTGTGGCAGAGTCTGATTCATGGCTGACTCAGTCTGCCTCCCCCTCTCCTGACCCAAATATGGTCCATTCCCCACCTCAGATCTTTGCACTGAGACCAGGGCCCCTTCCTTCTCCTTGGCCTCCCTTATTCTAACAGAATCAAGCATTGAAACCCCATTTGCTTTGAGGGATGGAAATGCCTTGTTCCTTATTCATGGATGTGCTCAAACGTGTTACTGTCCTGTGGGTTTGAGAAGAGCCCTAAACCTCCTCCAGAGAGCAGAGGCAAGGCAGAGTAGTCCTGAGCAGATGAGTCATGGGAACAGATGCCAATATAGCTAGTGTGCAGACCTTGAGGAAAGAGGGAGATTTGTAGTTACTACGTTACTTTAAGTTCTGAAAAGGCAAAAGACACTCACCCTACCACTTCCTTATCTCACAGCTCCTCATTTCTACTAGCACACAAGGTGGACCTGCAAGGGTTGTGTGGTTTCTCCTGGAGACACCAGCTATAAATCAAACACTCCCCAGAGCTTTGGCTGATGGAGAAAAGATCCACTGAGAATAATGTGTTGGTTCACCCCTTTACAGAAATTGCTGAGTGACAAAGAAGGGTTCAAGGGAGATGCCTGTTTGCAGACCCCTACTCACAAAAGAGAGACTATGACCCTTGTGCTGAGTGATGGCCCATGTACTTCATGAGCTGGGAAAAAGTGGTGTGAGACCTCAGTTCAGGTTTCACAAGGAACAGCGCTCTGGCCCAGGTCAGCTGGACTTTACAACTTGGTCTGCAGTGGGTGCTGCTAGCTAAGCAGCAAGCTGTCCCTATGGCTTGTCTTTCTTCAGCCCTTCCCAAGATCACACAAGGGACCTGCCTGGTTCTCGTTCTCGCCCCACTGTGCTGGAGACATTGACATCACCCACATCCCCAATCTTAGGCCAGAATATGGGGGGCGTTCGCCATATGTGTTGGGCAAGGAAAGGCAAGAACAGCATACAAGGAAGCAGCAGGTCATTTCCAAGTGTGGATGCAATCACCTGCTGCTGACAAACCCCTTATTCCCAATTCTGAGAAGAGAGAAAATGCTGGCAAAATCCATCTGCTCACTGCAACACAGGTAAGCAAATGACAAACAGCTGATGCAGTCAGTCACTTTAGGCTCTCTCTAGTACCCAAGCTGAGGCTGTTTTAGGTCACTTCAGCTCTGTTTCTGCAAGGACAAAGGCAGACTGAAGGTCACCTAAATGCAGCTAGACTTGATTGCTTTAGCTCAGGTTTATTCATTCTTGATTTTGCTCAACAGTAAGATGCAAGCTAAATGTGAGCAGATGTTCTTGAACAGTACATTGATATGCTGCTTACTGAACACTTTACAGTCCTACTGAAGGTGGATTTAGATTGAGCTGGCAAACAGGAATAAAGCCTTCAGCCAACTGCTCAGAAGGCATGGCTTTGAATTAAAATGTTCATTACCAAAGTGAGGTAAAACTCAATTAAATTCACCATGCCTGTTTGTACATACACAACTGCTGTCTTTAGAAACCTGGATTGAAATAAATGTAAAATACTGCTTCTAAATGTCTTTAACATCAAAACTTAAAATGTAAATTCCCAGGTTGGTCTTGAAGTATTTCTAAGGTATTTTCTCCTGTACTAACAAAACAGGTAGTATAAGCACCTTTTGTCATACAGAGAAATGTCATGACAAGCACTCACAGACTGGGAAGCACAGAAGTTAACTCCTGACTTGTTTTACAGCCTTGGACTGCTCTAATACTTTGTGATAAAACATTTGTTAGGTTTGGTTCCACTGTTTCTTTTGCGATGCCCAAGCCAAAACCATGGAGTTGCCAGGTAAAAGCATGTGGATGCAAAGCCTATTTATCTTCTGGTGGGACTTGGGTGACAGATCCCCTTCAACCAGTGAACTAATCCAGCATCTAACATGTACCTCTGTGTTGGAGATCTGCTACATGGTTTACTCCATGTCTGGTCAGAGGCTGGTGTGTATCGTGGACTAGCTCTATCTCCTTTAATCTTCTGACAGCTGTAGCACTTTCTGAGTTCTGGGTAGTGTTGAAGATTCTGTGTTGGCAGGAAATTTAAGTTAGGTCTTATCCTAGCACATGTGCAGAGAAGAGTACCATAAGAAAGGCTGGATTGTGTGTTCTGGACTGGACTTCCAATGCCAGTCAAAATACTGTGATATCCCACAGTGGGGTGGCTCTCCTCAGGTATTTGGACTCTGCTTCATTTGGGGAACCTCCCCACTTGCATGAACAGTGTTTGCACAAGTCCAGCTGTTGCCTACCATCACCTTGCTCCCCTTCCCCATCCCCCTTGCAGAAGACACACAACTTCTACTTTTTGATTTCACAGCTCCCCCCGCCCCATAATGAGTGAGCCTAGAGAGAGATGGAGAGTGCACCCATTAACTCCCACTACTGCTGCTTGCTTCAAGATCTCCCAGACACTGGCATTTTGTAAAAAAGACCCCAACAAACCCAC